GGCTCTAATCTAATACAATTAAATGTAATTTAATTGCTGTGCAAGCTTATATTTGTTAGGAATCCCAGCAACAAATAAATCAGAATAAAAGGCTCTGCCTGACATGGATCTTCCTGGTTGTTTCAGCTAAAATAACCCAGCCTGGGTTTCAGCAGCTTGGCCAAGTTCGACTCTACAAAAACCAGGACTATTCCTTCCCCCTTGCTTTTGGATCCATCTGGATCAGATCCAGGGAGCAAGAGCATCCCAAATACTCCTCTGCCCCTCTCCTGGCTGGGGGGGTTTGGGATACTCTGCCAGGCAATTATCACCCAGGGGGATCCAGTTATTGATGTGTGTTATAAACACAGATTATTTATCAGAAGGGTTATAGGGGTCAGGTTGGGATGGGTGCTGGTGGGACAGCAGGATTTTTCCTTGTTTTCTCCCTGGAAATAAGAGGAGGAATGTGGTTCCTCCCGTGGCAAGAAATGTGCTTGACATCCTCAGCTTGGCCAAGGAAAGGGAACAGCAGGGCACTGGGGGTGAGGGTTTGCTCCCCCTCCAAAGAAACAAAAACCTCTCCAAGTTGTCCTGCTGGTGGCTATTAAATTTTAAAAAAAAAATTAAAAAATTAAACTAAGTCTATAAAATTATTTTAAATTCATTTATAAAAATATAAACCTATAAAATTCTTTTTAAAATTGCAAAATGGGAGTTTTATGGGGCAGCACGAACCCCCAGCACTGCGGGGTGCAGTTTTCTGACCCTCCCCTCCCTTCAGGGGAAGGGGGTTGGGGAGGGGGGGCAAGACAAATGGGATTAAAATGAGCACCCAGCCTCCTGCCAGGACATCCCTGAGTATCTGATTTCCCGGGAACGTGCCATTGAACCAGCTAATGGCTCGTTTGTGGCTGTTCAGAGGGTTCATAATGTCCCGGTGTCAGCGGCAGCTCAGCTGGGGAATGTGGATCCTCTGCTGGAGGAGACACGAGCATCCATCAAAGAGTGCAACAGCCTCGGGTCAGCTCCCCGTGCTCGGGCAGCTCCGGGAAGGGAGCCAAGGAAACCAGGAAACCACTGCCTTCGTTCCAGGGCTTCTCAGGGAAGGGCTGAGGGAAGCGCTCGGCTCGTGCCCGGGAGCGGGAGCTTGGCTGGGACAGCGAGTTCCTCGCCTGCCCCGTGCCAGGGAAAGCTTTGGAGCTCGGGGATGTCTCCAGCCCAACCCCCTGGAGGTGCAGCGTGGGCTGGGCTGTGACACTGGGCACTGCTGGGGACAGACGGGGCCTGGGGAGGCACGGGAGGAGGAGGAGGAGGAGGAGGATGGGACACGGGACAGGGATGTGGATGAAGGACACGCAGCTGAGCCTGGTCAGAGGTGGGATCATGCTCTGAGGGTTGGTGCCTGTGGCCCTGCAGAGCTGGGGGTGGGCAGGAGGTACCCAAGCTCTCACTCTCCTGTCCCACCTGCCCTGTCCCACCTGCCCTGTCCCACCTGCCCTGTCTCACCTGCCCTGTCCCACCTGCCCTGTCTCACCTGCCCTGTCCCACCTGCCCTGTCCCACCTGCCCTGTCTCACCTGCCCTGTCTCACCTGCCCTTCCCATCTGCCCTGTCCCACCTGCCCTGTCTCACCGGCCCTGTCTCACCTGTCCTGTCTCACTTGCCCTGTCTCACCTGTCCTGTCTCACCTGCCCTGTCTCACCTGTCCTGTCCCACCTGCCCTGTCCCACCTGCCCTGTCCCACCTGCCCTGTCTCACCTGCCCTGTCCCACCTGCCCTGTCTCACCTGCCCTGTCTCACCTGCCCTGTCTCACCTGCCCTGTCCCGTCTGCCCGTCCCACCCAAAGGCATTTTCCGAACATTCTCCACCAGATCCCACCCCCTCTCTTGCGAGGGAAATTCCTGTTCCTCTGACAGCTTTGCACGTTGGAATCAGGGGGGTGTGAAGCACAGAGCCAGCCCAGGATGGTTTGGTTTCAGCAGCTGGCAAAGCCTGCCCTTCATTTGGGATTTATGAGTGAGAATTACGGGATTGTTCAGGTTGGAAAACACCTCCAAGATCATCGAGTTCAACTCTTCCCCAGCACTGCCAAGGCCACCACTACCCCATGTCCCCAGGTGCCACATCCACACATCCTTTACATCCCTCCAGGGATGAGGACTCACCACTCTCCCGTTCCAATGTCTGAAAACCCTTCCCACGAGGAACTTTTCCTGATGTGCAGCCTGACCCTCCCCTGGCACAACTTGAGGCCGTTTCCTCTTGTCCTGTCACTTGTTACCTGGGAGGAAAGACCACTCCCCACCCTGTCAGGGAAGTTTTAGGGAGTGAGAAGGTCCCCCCTGAGCCTCCTTTTCTCCAGCACCTCCTCAGACATCCCCAAACCACCCCCAGACACACCCGAGCTCCAGGCAAAGCATCCCAGCCCTCCCAGGCCCCGGCGATCAGGACTGGGAAAAAAAAAACCCGGGGAAAATAAAGAAAAGAACAATTATGAAAACCAGGAAATGTTTCATGCTCATATTGTGGGTTTTAAGAGTCTCTCTCCTGCCACTTCCCCCAGGGATTGCTGATTTTTCCCCGTAATTAGCAGCGAAGTGTGATCGCCTCGCTGGAACGAGCCAAGTGTCTCCCTTGGATGCCCACACGGGCTCTTCCCCCTCCCCCCCTTTCCCTCCCCATCTTTTCCTCACATTTCATTTCTCACCACGTAATTAAATCCGAACTGGCAGCCAACAAAACTCTGGGAGCAGCCAAACCCTTCCCCAGGCGAGGGAGCAGCAGTTTGGGGAGAATCCTCCCCCAAAAGTGGGGACCCCCCCCGGGGGCATCCCCAGCACCCACCGCTGGGAGGGGACGCCTGGACGTGGCCCCGGGGTGGATTCCATGATCCTGGAGGTCTTTTCCGACCTTAATGGTTCCGTTATTCTGTGAGGTAACAACTGTGAGCAGCTCCAACAGCAGCAGCTCCAACCAGTGTGGGGATTTCTGGCACCTCCACTCCCCAGCCAGTCTCTCTCCTTATTTACTGCAATTGAACTCCCATTTTACAATTTCAAAATAATGGTACAGAATCAATTTAAATTTTTATTTATTTATTTAATTATTCTTTCTTTATTTATTTATTTTTAAGCATAAGAACTGCCAGCAGGACAACTTGAGTTGTTTTTATCCCTCTTTGGAGGACGGCAAAGCCTCACCCTGGTGCCTGGTGCCCCTTCCCTTGGCCAAGCTGGGGATGCCAAGGCTGGTGGGGATGTTGGGGGGCTCAGAGCTCCCCTCCAGCCCCACCCTTGGCATTTTTTTGGCTGCCAGGGACACTCCTCCTCTCCAGCCCAACCTGGGCTGAGATGGAGAGATGCAACAGAGAGCCTGTGAATAAAACATGAAGCAGAAAGTAAATCCTTTCTGGCACCTGGTTACTTCTCTTCCGAGTGCAATATGTGAGCCTGCTAATTGCTTGATTTACTGGAGCAGCCACTGTGCCAACAGCAATAAATAATGTTAATTAATATAAGGTAACCCACTGACAGAGAGGCTGGTAATTACCAGGAAACCAGAGAGATGGGCCTTTTGTGGTGCTGTTGGAGAAGAGCAGAGCACAATTTCCCCTCTGTTTGGTTATCTATCATCCTTTATTTGTTTGCCTTGAGCGCTCTGTGGGAAGATCTTGGGTCCAATTTCTTGTTTGCTTTCTCTCCCTTTTCCCCAAGGACGCTGCACGTTAATGGCAGAAATGTTCCTTTGATTATTCACACGCAGAGAAACGAAGGGTTTCCTCCCCCCCTCCCGACGTGTGCAGGGAACAAAACCCGGCGCCAAACGTCGAGTGTGAACGTCCTGGAGTGCCAAAAAAGCCCGGGTGGAAACAGGGACTCGTTGATTCCAACATCACCAAGCCCCCCCATCACCCCACCAAGCTCATTCAGAGGATTTAAGTGTTTCCTTAAATACTGTTCCCCAGCCTGGGGCTGAGGAAATTTGAGCTGATCTCGGGAAGCTGCAGAAGGAAACACCTCCTGTTGCCACCTGGCAGGGAGAAGATGCATCGATCTGCTGTTACAAGTCGTCAGGATCTTCCCCTGATCGGCTTCATCCCGTGTCTGGGCCCCTCCTGGCTCCAGCCAACACATAAATCACTGGGAAACCTCTCCCGGGGGGTTAAAAACGAGCAAGTGCCGGGAAATCAGATAAAACAAGTGAGACATCCCTGAGCCGAGCTCAGCTCCCCTCCCGGGGCTCTGGGGAGGAGGCTTGAAGTGGATTTAATTGTGGAAGATGAAGTGGGAGCCTTGGTGGAAAAATGACAGCCCGGGATGGGGGGGCAGAGGGTGCCCGGGGGTCAGCTGGGATTGCTCAGCTCTGCTCAGCCCCCCATAACTCTGTCAGCAGGTGATTCCTGACGCAGACAAAGTGCTCCAGAGAGCAGCACTGACAGCTCCCAACACCCTCCTGGGGAGACACCTCGGCACAGGGAAGGTTTGCCAGCCAGGGCAGGGATGTGGGATGTGCCCCCCCAGCACTGCCAGGGTGGAAACCACGAGTCCAGGGAGCAGTGAGGTGCTGGGAGGAGCTCCCTGTTTTCCATAACACAGCTCCTGACTGCAGAACTCAGAGCAGGGAGAGCAGCCCAGCTCCTTCCCCTCTTCCCCGGGCTTTGGGGATCCAGCAGCCACTCTCCAGCCCCAGGAAAATTCACCCTGAGGATTCCTTGGGTGGGAGGAAACGACGAGTCCTCCCCCCCTAAACTGCAAATCAGGAGGACTCGTTTGGGTGGTTTTCACGTTGGGTTTTTCCAAGAAAGGGCTTGGAGCAACCTGGTGGGGTGGAACCACGGGAGGGGGGTGGAACAAGGTGAGCTGTAAGGTCCCTTCCAACCCGAACCACTCAGGGACCGGTTTTGCACAGGGTGAGTCTTTTCCAACAAACCCAGGGGGCTCCACACGTGAGGGAGGTGGAAAAGCTCCCTGTGTTTTCCCAGAGCAGGATTTAGCCCTGGAAATGCGCTGCTTCACCCAGCCAAGCTCTCTGACCTGGGCACGTTCACACTTGTCCTGGTTAGAACAGCTGGGACCAGTTCATCACTGGATGGGTGTAACCCAAACCTGGGTATTCCAGA